AAATTAGACCAGTCAGTGTTTGGCCACTCCCACAAGTTCTGCGCCTCCACTGCGCAGCACATGTTGCAGGCAGATAAACTGAAGGCTGAAGGTTTTGTGGCTGGGTTGGTGCCCCAATCCCACCACTGGACGCCTTGACTGGTTACAGAAGATGGCCGGTTCAGGCTCCATCTTATTAGGAGTATTCACTGTGGTCAACCTCATAGGTTCCAGGAAGTTTCCACTGCCCTAGGTTTCCACATTGGCTCCTAAATGCCCTTCAACTTCAGCTGACTCTTCCCATACTCTTTCTCCACACACCCCACGTGATCCCTCCTCCTCCATTCCCACTCACCCTGAGTACATGCACATGCACAAAATGTATTCTATTTCACATTCCCAGGGAGGCCCATGCATCCCTCTAAAGCCCTCCTTGCAACTTAGCCTCTCTGGGTCTGTGGATCATAGCATTATTATCATTTTACTTAGCAGCTATTATCTACTTATAAGTATCCACCTATCCCTGCTTGTCTTTCCGGGTCTGGGTTACCTCACTCGGGATGATTTTTTTTTTCTAGTTTCATCCATTTGCCTGCAAGTTCCATGATGTCGTTTTTCACTCTGTTGTATAAATGTACCCCATTTTTAAAAGTCTACTCTTCGGCCGAGGGACATCTAGGAAACAATAACCAGTTTCTGGCTATTAGGTTGGGTTTCATTATTCTTTCTAGTACCTTCTGTAGGGCTGGATTTGTGGATAGATGCTTAAATTTGGAATCTCTTGTTTTCTTCATCTATGGTGATTGAATGTTTTTCTGGGCATAGTAGTCTGGATCCACAGGACGTTTGTGCAGGCCCTTCTGGCTTTTAGAGTCTTGATTGAGAAGTCAGGTGTAATTCTAATAGGTCTGCCTTTATATGTTACTTGGTTTTTTTTTTTTTCCTTTTCAGCTTTTAATATTCTTTCTTAATTATGTGTGTTTAGTGTTTTGATTATTATTTGGCAAAGAGACTTTCTTTTTCTGGTCCAACCTATTTGTACCTTTATAAGCATCTCCCTCTTTAGGTTAAAAGAATTTTCTTCTATTATCTTTGTGAAAAAAAATTTTGCTGTTTGAGCTGGGATTCATCTCCTTCTTCTATCCATATTATACTTAGATTTGATCTTACCTGAATGTTTTGTGTCAAGAATATTTTAGATTTAACATTTCCTTTGACAAATGTATCTGTTTCTTCTCTCTTATCTTCAATGCCTCAGATTCTCTCTTCCATCTTTTTTATTCTGTTGGTGATGCTTGTGTCTGTAGTTACTTTTTCCTTACCTAGATTTTTCATTTCCACATATGCCTCTGTTTGTGTTTTTCTTATTGCTTCTATTCCCATTTTCATGTCTTGAACAGCTTTCTTTGTTATTTAACTGTTTGTTTTTTTCTTGGCTTTATTGGATTTCTTTAAGGGATTTATTCATTTTCTCCGATATTTGCTTGTCTTAGTCATTTCTATAATTCTGGAAGCTGTTTGCTCTATGCTTCCAACATACTTAGGTGTATTATTTTCTTCTAAAGTTTCTGATGGGATTTAAGACTAGATAGTCATAATTTTACTACAACTAAGCTTAAGACAAGGATTTATATCTAAAAAGATGTTTTAAAGTGTGGATGAATGTTTTTAGGATAGATACAAAATATCATAAGAAAGTGATTTAGGTACAGATCTTAGGACTCGCCAGGATAGAATAGATAGTGTGGAATGCTTTTTCCACGATTGTCAAGTACAAATGGACTGGACATTATAAGTGTAATTCTTACCTAACAATTCTCCTAATTCTTATTGTATACAGCTTATTAATGTTAGAGAAAAGGCAATTTTTAAAAAACCAAAAGGGGCATGAAATGGAAGTTCTGGTTTCCTTTAAAACTCAATTACATTATGTAAACATGTTTTTGTTATAATTCCAATTATGGGATTTTAGTCTGTCCACAGCTGATAATTGCTTAGTGTAGGGGCATGGTCTTTGCCAGCTGGAGTTAGTTGAATTCTGAGGACTTTGAGGGGTATAAATATGATATCCCAGAGGGAAAAGGTACAGTGCTTTGGAGGAGGTTGATGGAGGACTGTTTAGTTTATTTGCTGTTTTGCTGGACTGATGTTTTGCTGTTTACCTGGACTTCTGGATATCCTAATGACTAAGATTGGTATTGCCTCAAAAAGAATCCTATGACCCTACCCAGCCAGAAGAAGTAAAGAAATCTACATGCCCTCTCCCTTCCAACCTTCTTTTTCCCCTACCTGGGGTGAGGGGATTGGAAGGGAGGTATAGGCTTCAAGAAACCCCCAAATAAAGTAGCATTTGAAAAACTAGCACCTACGGGTCTTTTTCTTGATTTCTTTAAGGGATGTGTTCATTTTCTCTTCATGGGCTTCTATCATCTTCACCTAGGTCTTTTTCTTGAGCTTCAGCTGTGTTGTAATATTCAGGGCTTGCTATAGTAGATTGCTGAGCCATTGTGGTGATATTGCCTTGGCTGTTGTTGGTTGTGTTCTTATGGTAGGCATCTGGGTTTGGGATGATCATAAGTCTAGGTGCAGATTTCTAAGCTTGTCTTTGTTGGATGGATATTTTGTTCCTTGGCTTCTGTTTCCTCTCTGGTCTTCTGGCCACTATGTCCTGTGGTTGATCAAAGTGTCTTTACCCAAGTTGGGAGCTGAACATGGTGGAATCAGGAGGAGCAGGGACAAAATACAGTTGCATGCTTTGCCCTTTAGAGTTTAGACTATCCTGTGAAAAGCTCAGGTTACCAGAACTGTTTTAGGTTCTCTTCCCTTATCCCAACTTTTGTTACTTCTCCTCGATCTTTCCAGGACCCCAGCTCATCCTCGGCCAGACAGGATCACCACCACAGGAGCTCCTGAAGGAGCGTTGGTTGTTCAGAGTCTGTTTACTTCTTCCGCTGCCTGCTGCTTCCTTCCCATCTCCACTGAGATAGTACAAACCCAACTGCTATTTTACCAAACAAACAGCACAGGATACTGGACAGTGAGGCTTTCATCAGAGATTTCTTGTTCTGTGATTAATTGGAGTCTTGGGACAGATTCTGAGGAGACTCCCTGAAGGCTCCCCAGTTCCCTGGCACACAGGAGAGTCAGCCGCTCTTGATCTGGCCAGAGCCCAGCAGTGACCCATCACACTGCTCTCAGAGCTGAGCCAGGTGTGCATCAGAGATGTATTGAGCCTGTTTTCATGGGCTATGAAGTCAGAGGTCAGGCTTCTCAAGACAGGGACTGACTGATTTAATGCAAAGTGTTATGGGTCGCAGGGAGAAGGGTGATATGGGCTACCCAAGGCTCACACTACAGCACAAAACAGGACAGTAAAGTCAGGAGGAAGAATACTAACTACTGACAAAGCTCCTGCTCTCCGAGAAGAAAGTTAACTCTGGCTGGTGACCTGTGCCTGAGTCACAGATCCAGGGTAGAAAGTCTGCAAAGCAAGAGCAGGTAAGTTTGGATCTGAGAAAAGACAGAATGCTCTTCATGTTGGAGTCAGGACCATGTGAAAGGCACTCTTCCTCAACAAGAGGAAGAGGTAGGTAGTTGAAAAACCAAAATAAGGCCCCAATGCGGTAGATCAGTGAGTGACTGTGAAGGTCAGCGTCCACCTCGACATGGTGAGGATGCTGGGTCCTCCTGTCACATCAGCCAACAGCTAATGGCGGCAGTGCTGCCTCCCTGCCTCTTCCCTGACTCCAGGTTCACACAGGCCTGGAAGAAGGTTGGTGGGATGGCATGTCAGCCTGTAAGTGTCCACTGACGTTTGTAAGATTGACTTGGGATTATTGCCAGTGGAGGACGACACATCGCCCTCTAACGGTGCCCCTTTGGGGACTGTTGAACTTTGGGCTGGGAAAAGCATTGAATATTGCTCTTGTTGTGTTGGGGAGGGGGTCGGGGTGTGGAGTGAAGTGCACAGGGGGGCAAGTGAGCATGCGAAAGCAGTCTGCAGGCAGGCTGCAACCGCCTCCTCCCAGGGCGCAGGACCATTGTGCTTCCAACCTTATGCGCAGCTCTGGCTCACCTCCTCCATTAGAAGAAAGTAAACAAACTAAATGCCTCCCTCACGACTATGGTCCTCGAGTCCCTGTCCAGCATTGGGGCCCAAGATGCAAGTGGGTTCGCAGTCTTCCCTAATGTCCCTGACAGCACTTGGATGCTTCTTTCGATGTTCTAAAAGCAGAGATTATGGGTAGTGTGGGGTTATGGAGAGCTTTTCCAGGCGCAGTCTGTCCACACACTTCCTGTAGCATCTGCCTTTTGTCATCTGCACCACGCAGAATTTCTTTGATTACTTATCACTCAGACAGAATTTACTCTACAGCGAAATGCTGGCTGTGTTGTGTGGATGACAAGAAATGTGGCTGGCAGAAGGATGTGGCCTTTCACACAGCAAGGTCCAAGGTGGTCACCTTCATTTCTAGGTGAACCCAGGTCATCAGTGTCAACCTCTTGAAGACTAAAACTCGGGTCCTGATAGAATAAAGTGTGTGATTGTTTTGTTAATATACTCTTTGTACATGACTCACCTGATTACATAATTAAACACTGAATTATACTTCAGTGTGCTAAAGTCAGTATATAACCCTTCCATCAACAATTACTGATTTAACATGTTTTCTATTGGCTGACGTTTAGCTCTAGGTCAGCTAACAGCTGCCTGCAATTAATACTTCTTGAACCGTTCAGATAATGAGAGGCTGTTCTGTTAGTGGTTTGTTTAAGTGACCTGCAACTTGGGATTTTTCCATTATAGCTCCTGATCCAAACCTCCCTCCCAGTTCCCTATTTCTGTGTCTTACCCCAACACCTCTCCCGTGGAGACCTGCAGCTCAGAGTCTCAGCTCCAGGGTCACAGAGCAGAGGCACTGACCTAGAGACTAAAGTCATTTCAGCTGAATGCTTTCTCTGTGATACTTTTCATTTCACCATTGTAGATTTTCAATTGTAAGAAATTCTGAAAGAAAAATATGGACCCAAAGAATAAAACTACAGCTGATTTCATCCTGCTGGGGCTCTTTCCCAGCTGCAGGTACCCAAACCTCCTCATCTTCCTCATCCTCCTCATCTACACCCTGGCCTCTGCTGGAAATTCCCTCCTGATATTCCTCATCTGGCTGGACCCCCGTCTCCACACCCCCATGTACTTCCTGCTCAGTCAGCTGTCTCTCATTGACCTGGCTTACATCTCCTGCACAGTGCCCAAAGCAGCCACCAACTACTTCACCGGGAGGCAGAGCATCTCCTTCTTTGCCTGTGCCACGCAGATATTTGCCTTCCTCACCCTCGGCCTTGCCGAGTGCATCTTGCTGACACTAATGGCCTATGACCGCTATGTGGCTGTCTGTAACCCTCTGAGATACACCATTCTCATGAGCCCCAAGGTCTGTCTGAAGATGGCCGCCTCCACCTGGATGGGAGCAGCTGCTGCAGCCCTTGTTCACACCGTCTACCCCATGAATTTTCCCATCTGTGGCTCCAGGGAGATCAACCATTACTTCTGTGAGATGCCCGCCATCCTGAGAATGTCTTGTGTGGACACATCAGTCTATGAGATGGTGAAGTTTGTGTCAACCATTATCTTTCTCCTGGCCCCGTTCACTCTGATCCTGACCTCCTACACCCTCATATTCCTCACCATCCTCAGAATGAACTCTCCCAAGGGGAGGAACAAAGCCCTGGCCACCTGCTCCTCCCACCTGACTGTCGTGAGTCTCTACTTTGGTCAGGCCATCTTCATCTACATGACGCCCACGTCTGCCCACACACCTGACCAAGACCAGGTAGGAGCTGTGCTGGGTACCATAGTGACCCCCATGCTCAACCCTCTTATCTACAGCCTGAGAAACAAAGAGGTGATAGGGGCTCTGCAGAAGTGCACGGGCAGATGCTGCAACCGCGACAGTGCCAGGTCCTCCTTCCGGTGCTGCTCTCAGAAACGGCCCGTCCTTCATCTTAAACGTGAGCCTAAGTCAACCTAGATCCCAACTGGAAATAGAGCACCGTGAGGAAGGACTGCACAAGCCTTGTATAAACTGGAATTTGCTAGAATGTTGTTCTTTTTTCCATAGTGGTGGCGTCAGTAAACCCTTAATAAGTGTTGCTTGCTTGTAAAATTACGTAAATTGTGACAATAGCATCTGTGCAAAGACAAAGGGTTTCTTAACGCTTTGGGTCGCAAGTCAAGAACCTACTTGCTGTTCTGGCATTTCCACTTCGATTGGCCTTTAAATATCATCATGTCGGTGTCTCCTTCTCACTTAATCCCTTGAAATAATTCATGCAATTAGTCTCTTCTTACTGATTACATCTATCAGGCATCGACATGAATCACCTTTTTGTTTTTACTACATTTTAAGCCTTGTGGGTCACTAGTGCAGCCCTGTTTATATTTACTGGCTATCGAGAGAATTTGTTTCCAGTTACTGATGAGACTCAACATGTTTTCTGAAGCTACAGTAAATGAAATTTTCATACAGTGTGCTGTCTTTCAGTGAAACAAGCAATCATGAAGTCCTGTATTACAGAATAGAGAGTTTCAGTTGCCCATCTCCCACAGTCACGGCCTCTTATTTAAAAATAAATGTGGCAAAACGAAATTTAGATGGCATGCAACCGCAAATTTAAGGAGAAAATTGATTTGTGAAACCGTAACAACCTGTCAGACTTAGCAAAATGATAGCAAAATTTCCACATGACCAGTGACTCCCCTTAAGCACCCTCTCCCTCTTCCTGTCCACTCGGACCATTCGTGGGCATGTGTCACGGTTGAGGTTGCTTTAGATCACAAAAAGTACGTTGACAAGCCTTCATCTTCTGAAGGACGATCACAAGGGGAGATTTTAAGTTTTTTGTTTTTGAAATAAAGGGCCTTAAAGTTATGAAGTTAAAACTCTGAGTTAGGGAATTTTCACCTTAGAAGCACAAGTACTCACACTGCCTTACATTCCAGTCTTAACAAACATCAGAATGACTTCACACCTCCACACTCGGTTGTGAGGATCTACAGGGGCCTTTAAAAGCAACTAAACAGCTCTGAGTTTCAGATGTGATCACTTTCCGTTAAAACACACCTCTGATTTCCCCTCATTTAACTTTGATGCAATTCTGTTTTCTATATATTTTCCATTTCTTTGAAGATATTAAACTTCGACATCTTTAGGTTCTTCTCGTAATTTTCCCAGCTCTGCTAAGGTGTGCCTGAAGAACTAACTGCATGTCATCTTAGCATGTAAAACATAGTGTTGATATAAATGCGCTTTGTGTGATGATTCCAGCAACAAAGCATGTAACAGCCATCATCTCCCTCACAGCCTTTTGTGGTTTGAGACAAGGATATGTCCTTTCAGAAAGTTTTGTGTCTGGCTATTATCCTCCTGATATAGTATCTCTTACTAGCTTTACACAGCCTGTTTTTCCTTGCCTCATACTCATAGCTGAGGTCCATGTGGAGTAGTTTGTTACTGGAGGCGGGGTATTACATGTAGAAACCGATAGTGAATCCAAACAGCTTCCTTTCCTTCAAAAAGGATTCAACCTTTTTTTCAATGCAAACTAAAACGACCCTAAGATTTCACCTTACACCCATCAGAATGGCTAAGATCAAAAATTCAAGAGACAACACATGCTCAACCATGTTTGTAGCAGCCTTATTTGTAATAGCCAGAAGCTGGAAACAGCCCAGATGCCCCTCAGTGGAGGAATGGATGCACAAATTGTGGTATATCTACACAATAGACTATTACTCAGCAATAAAAAACAAGGAAATCATGAAATTTGCAGGTAAATGGTGAGATCTGGAAAAGATCATCCTGAGTGAGCTATCCCAGAAGCAGAAAGACACACACGGTATATACTCATTCATATAGACATATAATATAGGATAAACCTACTAAAATCTGTACTCCTAAGGAAACTAAACAAAAGGGAGAACTCTTGCTAAAATGCTCAATCCCTATCCTGAAAGGCAAAGAGGCTGGATATCAGAAGAAGGAGAAAAGAGGGAACAAGTCAGGAGCCTGACACAGAGGACCTCTGAAAGGCTCTGCCCTGCAGACTATCAATGTAGATCCTGAGACTTATGGGCAACCTTTGGGCAGAGTGGGAAATCTTAGGAAAGAAGTGGGAAACAGTAAGATCTGGGGAGGACAGGAACTCCAGAAGGAGAGAAACAGAACCAAAAAATCTGAGCACAGGGGTCTTTCCTGAGACTGATATTCCAACCAAGGACTATGCATGGAGATAACCTAAGACCCCTGCACAGATGTAGCCCATGGCAGTTCAGTATCCAAGTGGGTTCCATTGTAATAGGAACAGGGACTGTCTCTGACATTAACTGATTGGCCTGCTCTTTAATTACCTCCCCCTGAGGGGGAAGCAGCATTACCAGGCCACAGAAGAAGACAATGCAGCCACTCCTGATGAGACCTAATTGACTAGGATCAGAAGGAAGGAAAAGAAGTTCTCCCCTATCAGTGGACTTGGGGAGGGGCATGCATGCAGAGGGTAGAAGAAGGGAGGGATTGGGACAGGAGGAGGGAGAGAACTACAGGGGGGATACAAAGTGAATAAAGTGTAATTAATAAAGAAAAAAAAGAAACCAAAAAAAATGTTCAATATCATTAGTCATAAGGGAAATGCAAATCAAAATGACTAGATACCATCTTACACCAGCTAGAATAGCTAAGAACAAAAACTCAAGTGACAGTACATGTTGTCGAGGATGTGGAGCAAGGAAAACACTCTTTCATTGCTGTTGGGAGTAAAAAACTTGTGCAACCACCATGGAAATCAATCTGGTTCTTTCTCAGAAAATTTGGAATAGTTCTACCTCAAGACCCAGCTAGACAACTCCTGGATCTGTACCCAAAAGATGCTCCACCATACTGCAATGACACTTGCTCAACTATGTTCATAACAGTTTAATTGTAATAGCCTGAAACCGGAAACAATCCAGATGTCCCTCACCCAAGGAATGGATACAGAAAATGTGGTGCATTTGTACAGTGGAACACTAGTCAGCTTTCAAAGACAAGGAAATCATGAAATTTTTAGGTGAATGGGTAGAACTGGAAAAGACCATCCTAAGTAAGGTAACCTGGACCCAGAAAGACACGCATGGCATGTACTCATTTATAAGTGGATATTAGACCTATAGTACAGGATAACCATATTATAACCCGCAGACCCCAAGAAGCTAAGTAACGAGGAGGGACCAAAGGTGGATGTTTGAATCCCACTCAGAAAGGGACATAGAACAGACATGGGAAGTGGATGAAGGGATGGAACTGGATAGGAGAGGGTGTGGGGAGAGGAATGAGGGTGGGGATCATATGTTGAGAGCAGGGGTAGGAGGAGAGAAGGCTGAGAGAGAGAAGGGAAACTGGGGGGGGCAGCTCTGGGACAAGCTGGAGACCTGCAACAGGGTAGGCTCCTGGGAGGATATGGGGGTGACTCTAGCTGAGACTCCTAGCAGCAGGGGGGACATGGAGTCTGAACTGGCCACCTCCTAACCAGGCAGGATTTCCAGTGGAAGGAGGGGGCACCAACCCACCCAAAATATGTGTTTTACTTAGATGACTGTCATTGGAAGAATACTTCATTCTATTCAAGTATTGCAAGAGAAAGGGCCATGTCAGAGCATGGGGACCCATCTGAGGAAGAACTGAGGTAGTCAAGAGGCAGAAGCCATGAGCAGAGATTGCAAGCAGCAAATATATGTGATTTCCGCAGGATGAGGTGGATTTAAGACTGGAAAATCCCGGCAGCTTTGAGGCCATGGTGGCTGCCTTTCATTTTCACTGTGTGAACCTAAGATGTGCAGGGCAGCTGGACTAAACGTAGAGGGAGCAAGGCATCCAGATAGTCGCTTGCATGACATTGTCCTGTAAAGATGGTGAGTGGGAGGATGATTTCTGGACAGGTAGGTTGCAAATGATAAGTGAGTTTACAGGAGAAGCTGTTTACCAACCTTAGCCTGTTACCTCACCCTGGGCATCACCAGAGCCCAGATGCCAACTGTGGTGGTTCAAACAGAGATTCATGTGTTGGAATGCTTGGCCATAGGGAATGGCACTATTAGAAGGTGTGGCTTTATTGGAGGAGGTGTGGCCTTGTTAGAGGAAGTGAATCAGTGTGTAGGTGGGCTTTGATGTCTCCTATGCTCAGGCTCCACCCAGTGTGAAACACAGTCTCTTCTTGTCTGCCTGTGGGGGATAGCACCATTCTGCATCTATAGATCAAGATGTAGAACTATCGCTTCTTCAGCAATGAATCTGCCTGCACACTGCCATGCTTTCCACCAGGATGATAATGGACTAAACCTCTGAAACTATAAGCCAGCCCCCATTAAATGTTTGCCTTTATAAGAGTTACCTTGGCCATGGTGTCTCTTCACAGCAAGACACCAATATATAGCAATATGGACAAGAGAGTCATGAGTTAAAAGTACTAAAATCCTGCAATCTAAGGGGGCATATTTCCCCCAGTAAGTGTGGGCCACTCCAGAAATAATCCTCTATGTCTCTGGGCTAAAATCTGGGGTCATACATTCTAGCTCTTCCTCCCTTCCCCAAACACTTGATTTACATATAAGTGACCTCCTCCTTGCCCACATGTGACCCTTGCCCACATGTGCTGTTCTGCAAAGGCCTCACTTCATTCAGTACTGCCTTGTTAATGTGATACAAGCCGGGCATGCTTTCCCCATAACGATTTCTTTAAACGTTTGTCAGTTATCTACAAGTCTTAGATTGCTAAATGCATTAGCTTAACTCTATAATCTATTTAGCTCAATCCCCTCTTTACATCTGACGTTCTGCAAAAATACTGTGAGAAACTGCAAGTCTTTGAACTCCATCAGCAAAGAAGACATGCAGCGAAAGCCCTGGTGTCTTTGTCTTGTTTCTGTATCTAAGCTCAACTGTATCTAAGATCAACTGAGAATGGGGACCACTCAGACCTTGAACCAGTGAGTGCTGTC